AGCCGTGCTGAAAACTCCGCGGAACCTATAGGTGCCTGCCTGCGTGGCTTGACGCTCTAAACTTTAGAAGTGAATCATAACCTTGGGAAGCTTCTAGCTTCCACCCCCGGGGATCAGGGTGCTGGCCACTTGTGACCATGATATCGGAGGGGCTTGGTACCATGATAAGTTTGGAAGAGGGCGGAGATCACGCAGCAGCAAACGCTAAGGATGAAATGACCTGCGTTTTAGCCAGCTGATTGTTCCAAAGCCAGAATGAATGGTTACAGGGCTGCCAACAGAAACAGCCGCAGAAGAAGCAGCATTTGCACCTATGATCTGATATCTTTAAATGCTTTTGGCAAAGAATAAGACAAGAAATCAAGGTCAAGCCGCTGCGCCCCGCCCTGAGCAGCCCTGTCATCATAGTCCATGTACTCGTTTTGAAGATTGAGCTGTGGGTTGCTTGCAATTCTTTTTCTGAAAGCCTGCCAACGGACAAGCAAGCTTTCCTCATGTGAAAGCGCTGTGCGCTGCAACTGTCCTCCCTGTCCAGCTGAGTCACGCGAGCGTAAGCTGTTTGTCCTCGAAGCTTGCTGGGAAGAAGGCTTATGGCCTTATGGCTCATGCCCAGAGCTGCTAAAACGAACAAATTTTCTGTTGGACTTAGGCCTGCGCGAGCCATCTACGTGGGTCCAACACCCGCTTTTCGAGAGCTTCTTTTGCCTTTTGATCGTGGGCCTCTCGCTAAAGTTCAGGTATGTTTATGTGCCAAAGCAGCTTTTGCAATTACGCTGGTGTTCGTGTAGGCACTTGCGCAATTCTGCAAAATCTTGAAGTCCTTTCAACGTTGCCATGAGGTAACACCTTGGTCATGGCGCTCGAGATTCAGTACATTGGGTTGCAGCAGGCTGTGAATGTGCATGAGCAGGGTGCAAGTGCAAGAAGCCTTCTGGCATTTCGTGTGAATGCTTTGCAGCGCGTCCGCCCCAGCACTGAATTGGCAGCCCGATACCGGGGCAGCTCGTAGGTGTTAGGTTTGCAGCCTCCATCTGGCTCTCATGTCAAAGGCATGGCTTTGGTGAACGACATTGTTAGGGCTTAGGAACTCCGGACCCAAACTCTGGATCAAATTCTTCAGCGACCGTACAACTGCAGACAACGATTCGATGTCCACAGTTGTACAGAACAAGAGACTCGCGCTCTTGACATTGTGGACGGAGCAAAGAGTGAAAGAGTGACTTCGAGACGTGTTGATGACGAAGAGGACGGAACTCCAAGAAACATCTCTGGTAGGGCACGCGAGCACAGATCTAAGCGTTGATCTCAACATTCAAAATTTCTATGCACATTACAGCCGGTATGTCTCAATTTGCAAAGGAAAACTCTTATCAACAAAAAGATCAGCCAGACGATGCCGTGTGAAAGGTGATGCAAGCGTTGCTGGGAGTCATGCAGACTTTTCAGAGTCAATTAGCGTTCATGGCGACGAGTGTGGACAAGTCCTCTTGCAAGGGACAAACCATTCTTTTTGACTGGGAACAGTTTTGTCCTAGGCGCTCTCAGCAGCTGCACGATAGGAAGCCGGCCATCATCTGGCCCACCAAGGTGTACTTGCACAGAGGCATCACGTGCAGACTGCGCAGGAACCTCATGAATGGTGCCGGGCAATGTTGTGAGCAACACATTACTACTGTTGGAGGGAACATGCCAAATTCTGTGCAACTCATCAGATTTTACCATCATCTTCCTGAATGCAGGAGCGCGTGAAACACCAAGCACACAATGGGAATTCAAACGATGAACCTTGCTGCTGCCACTAGTTACTCGCTACGCCCAACTTTCCAGTTTTGGACTTGCAAGTGGATTCTAAACCTTGCAGATGCCGCAGCCTGTGGTTGCCAGGGCTATGAGCTTCGCTACCCCAAGTTCACGCAGCCAGCCGAGGCTGCCATGGGATCAGGGAGCTGCAGTAGCGGTGTAGAGTGCCTCGGTTTTTCTGGACCTCGCCCTGCCAGCATCAACCGCCACAACAACTGCAACCTTCAGCGCGACCCCAATGACAAACGCAAAGTACGCAAACGCCGCCGCCACAGCAGAAGCAACTTGGAGGATTCATCCCCGGATCGCCAAAGTGCTTCCCAGGAAGGCTCCTAGAAAGTTTGTCAGCTTTCAGAATGCACGTTGCGTGAATAAGAGTCCCTCGACACTCGCTTCAGAGGCGAAAACAAGTGAGGGTTTGCTGACAGCAGTTTTGGTGTCCAGTAGAAGAGTTGAGCGTCTCACACACTGTCAGCCATGCCAGAGTCATGTAGGTGCTAATTAGATTTCTTTTCCTCTAAATCCTGTAAACCCTGCAGTAGCCCAAACCCAATCTCACCTTTTGAAGCGCTGGCAGGAGGTTTGGCCTCGCGCTTCAGAAATCTTCCACGTCATGGAAAACATATTTGGCTGGGGCCCTGGCCTGGTTGCCACCCTCAGGCCTTCCTTTTTTTAGGGTGTGCCGTCACCTATGTGGGTGTCCGACCAAGTCCATCAAGCCGAGCAGGTTCGCCCAAACTTAGCTGCAACTGACTGAAGTGTTAACTCTTGAGGTGCCATGTTCACCTTCGAGCTGCCTGGCAAAAGCATCAGCATTGGTTATCAGGGTGTCGAAGAAGCAGGGTGTCCGAGTAGTTGCACGTGCCTAGAAACTCAGGGATCAATGTCCGTGGGTCCAGTGAACAGACAGTCCAATCCTAGCGCAGGCGCGTGCAATACAGCAAGCCTGCAGAGCAAGCCTCTGACCAGCAATGTCTTTGCATTCCGCTAGACAGCTGAATCTCGAAGCCGAACACTGAGAGCTCGTTGCACGGTGCAACCTAGGGTGCTTTGTCGGGTACTGGCCTTTGGGAAGGAATTCATCTATGAGACTTGACTGCAACAGTCTTCAATACGGTGGATACTAAAAATCCTGCATGACCCAAAGTACCCTAAACCTTGGGAATAACGGTACTACAGTATGCTAAGGTCACGCAGGATTTTAAGTATCAACAGTATCGCATTAGATTAAAATGCAGAGAAGCGCCTGCATCCCGCATCTTCGTGCAGACTAGAGTGCATAAATGCGCCCTTGTGCTGACACCGAGAACTCGCACCACCTTCATGACTCGGATCTTGTCAGGATTCCTGGAACTGGTTCGATTCAGCTATCGTCCTGGCCTGGTTGATTGCAGCATGCCTTGAACCAGCGAAGGGTCATTTGAAGCGCGGTCTTTTTTATGCAGGTCTACGATTATAATGGGACCGACACGATGATTTGGAAACAGCATTTTGGGTTGGAAAGCGATAGGCAACTCACCAAAACCAATAGGTCAAATTTTGTCAAACAACTCTCTGGTATTAAAGTTCTACTACCAGAGAGCGAAAATCCATCTGATTGCCGGAGACGGCCGTTCCAGTACTAAAGTTGTACTAGCAGAGAACGAAAATCCATCTGATCGCCGGACACCCTTTCCAGCACTAAAGTTGTACTACCAGAGAATGAAAGTCCAGCTGATTGCCGGAGACGGCCGTTCCAGTACTAAAGTTGTACTACCAGAGAACGAAAATCCAATTGCCGGAGACGGCCGTTCCAGTACTAAAGTTGTACTACCATAGAACGAAAATCCAATTGCCAGAGACGGCCGTTCCAGTACTAAAGTTGTACTACCAGAGAACGAAAATCCAATTGCCGGAGACGGCCGTTCCAGTACTAAAGTTGTACTACCAGAGAACGAAAATCCATCTGATTGCCGGAGACGGCCGTTCCAGTACTAAAGTTGTGTCACCAGAGAACAAAAGTCCATCTGGTTGCCGGAGACGGCCGTTCCAGTACTAAAGTTGTACTACCAGAGAACGAAAATCCAATTGCCGGAGACGGCCGTTCCAGTACTAAAGTTGTACTACCAGAGAACGAAAATCCAATTGCCGGAGACGGCCGTTCCAATACTAAACTTGTACTAACAAAGAGCGAAAAAGACCCACCAACAAAACTTGGAAAACGATAGGCCATTCACCAAAATCCAATGTACAAGACCCACACTGGGAATTTAGACCGTACCTCATTTAGCTGACATGTGATTTCTCCAGACAAGAGCCGTTCTCGGGCCCTCCCAGAAAGGATGTCGCAGTTCGTGTTAAGGTTGACCGCCTCTCATCATATGAGTGGTAAATAGCAGTGGTAGATTGTCATGGTTGGTGCTGGCACAAACGAAAACGGCAATGACGACAGCGACAGTAGGCTGGTGGTGGCGGTGACAGCAGCATTGGTGACTATGATTTTGCCCATTGTTGCTAGCATGATGACTTGTCATCATCGCTCATGCTGATGCTGCTCCCGCTGCTGCTGCTAGCAGTAGCACGCAACATTGGTTGTGTGAGGATGGCAGTACGACCAGGATAGTCGAAATAGAAGTAGGACAATTTCCTCAGCACAGCTTTTGTCTACATCTTGCTACGGCTTCCTAGCTTGCAGCATGGCAGACGGGGGAGATGAGGCATGACGCATGTGCTTGGTAGGGGCAGTACGTCAGGCTTCAAGCTATGGCATGCACGCTGCCTGTATCTGCAACCACGGGCCTTTCCAGGACGTCATTGTGCAAGGCACGATACCGCCGCTGGGCTGATTTTGAATTCGTGAAGCGTAAACGCTGGCTAGCTTTGGTTCTGAGCATGGCCTATGCAAGGAGAACCTCGAACTTATTTTTTTGTGCCTGTGAAGGGCTCAGGTTGTGATCATGACTGGGGAAGGGCACAATTGGAGCACCACTTTTCATTGCAGCAAGCCTAGTCAGCCGCCTCTCTTCGTCGTCGCGGGTCAGAAATGATTGCGGGGGGCATCAGGATTTGTGACAACCTGATGAACAACTGCCAGTGCTCGTTGCTCTGCCCAGCAGGATCTGGTAGATGAGCTACAGTAGTTGGGTTCTTTGCTGGATATTGACGAAGGGACTGGGCTCTGAACAATGCCCCATGGGCGTCGATGACCTATTCAAGCGAAGGATCGAGCCCATGGTCCTCCGCATCGCCCGCCTTGCCCGGCTCTTGCGGCTCATCCGCCTTGCGCCTGGGCCACCAAGTTTGACAGTTTGGATGAGTCTTGGGTTGGCCTTTTGGATAGCACCTTCTGCTCAGACAGGGGACAAGAGAGTATAGTGACATGTTGGTCACAGCTTCTGCACGCTGGAGGGATCTTAGCTTCAGCATGCGGGGCTCCAGGTTAGAGAGATTCAACATGATGGTTTGTTGTCAAAATGTTACGGCCTGAAGCGAGTGGGTGCAGTCCAATCAAGACAGGAGAGGACAAGAGCACCTTTTGAGAATCGCTGGAACCGAGGTTCGTGCTATCCAGGGCTTCGATGCGTGCCCGGGCCTGGTCGTAGTGCCACATCTGTTCAACATGTCACGTTCACACTCATTGCACATGAAGAGCGCCTTGCTGCCCACCTCAAGCATCAAATATCTTGAGCCGTGACCCATCTTCCATGCTGGGCAGGGTGCCAGAGACTCAAGATCTCGGAAGAATTCACAAGGTGCAACAGGGGTCCATGCGGTCGACCAAACAAGTCTGTTCAAGTCCAGACCTGTTGCTGGCATTCATAGCCCCTTCAACAAGTGGCTTGCAGGATTCCCTGAAGAGCTCCAAGGCTTTACATCTTGACGACATCTCTGAAGGGCAGCCTGACTGTCGTCTTCTGGTCATTCATTCTGATCTTCGTTGCGCCTGAACTGCAACAGTCAACTTCATCCAAGGGGTAACCTCGGTACGCTTTTCTCATGTTGCTTGTGAAAAAGAGTTTCACTTGGTATCCTGGCTCTGAGTGGAAACCGCTTTCGTGTACATGTGTCCCGCAGCCTGCCTGCCCGCCCAACGTGCTGGAGTTGGAGGCAGCCATGTGGAAGTCGTGTTTGGGTCGCTGTCAGGTTCAGATGGCCATTGGCTTCATTCTGAACCAGTATCTGCTTGGTCTCTCGCTGCATGTTTAAGAGGTTGAAGAAAACGCGAAAAATCCGTTATGATGCAGGCAGTCGTCTGGCTCTCAGTCTGTTGTGATGAAGCCCGGTGCCAGGGCATATGGAGAATGAGGAGTTGGACATGGCAGTGCGGCAGAAGCTTGGCGGCATGTACTGCAGTCTTTCAACACACGCTACCTCTTGCAAGCCTGCATAAGTTGAGAGGGGAAAAGGTGGGCTTGCTACTTACCTTCTAAACCACTCCAACAAGAACACAGCCTGGGGGTGAGGCGATGCTATTGCTGCTAACATGAGAAGGAGGTAGGAGTGTCTTAGGATGTTTTTGGGTCAGGGCTTTGCGTAAGGATCTTCCATGTAACAGCCCACAAAGTCGATGGTTGTGATTGATGAAACGCCACGACTTGTGTTCGAAGCTTTGCATCAAGGACCCTTGGGAGACCTAACTCAGCCGCAGCTACGGATGGAAGGAAGATGAAGGAAGTCAACATCTAATTCCGAACTGGGCAGGCTGAAATGATACATCAAGTTTCTGTGTGTCTACGTGTGTTACGCAAGCCAACCTCATCAAGCATCCGGCCTCAGACCCGGAGCCCAAGCCAGGCGTGTTTTGGATACTGCCGGCCTAGAACGAAGATTAAAGAATTCAATAGGCTAGGGTTGCCAATTGCTCATCGTAGAAGGAGATGGGAATTGAAGCAACGACAGGACTGAAGGGACAGCAGTGGCCAAAGTAATGCCTTGAGGTACGCATGCAATGTTGCGCGCTGGAAGGGGAAATCGTGACGCATCGTGATGCCAGGGATCCATGTATGTATGCCCTGTTGCACTTTGTCGACTAGCCTGCTCACGCTGCACAAAAAAAGGCAGGCACGAGGATCGGGGGGCCTCAAGTACCCACTGGCAACCTATTGAGACAGCATCCTCAGTTAGAAGCAGCCCAAATGGTCGTCCAATGTGAATGTGAACAATACGGTTCGTGAGACCCCCGGCCAAGCCTAGCCCTGCTAAGACCCTTTCGGTCAAGCCACGTGAGCGTATATCCGTCGAAGGTTGTATTGCTAACGCGGGTTCTGCCACTTCAAAAGCGTCCTGGTCAGAGTTCTCGTGTTACCAAGCCTTCCAATGGCCTTCCCCACCTGCAATCAAACGATCTAAGCTGACCGAAAACAGACACTGGCAGTGCCGCTTTTGGCCAGCTCGGAACAGCTCTCAAGCTTGGGCGACGTGGGGGAAGACCTCCCGCATCATCTCCACAAATGAAGGCCGCCAGGCGCTCCCTGGCAAGCTCGAAGCCATCGCGAACTCCGTCCAGGATCCGATGGATGGCCTGCCTATAGGGTTTGGTTGCATCCAGGTCTCCACTGCGGGCTGACAGGGAGAGGGCTACTGGCGCCTGACCTTTGTGGCCTTTAGGCTTAGCTTTGGTCAAGCCCTTCCCCCAGCCGGTGGAAGTGCTTGCCTTCTTTGCTGCACTCCCGTCTTCATTACTAGGAGTCTGCTTTTCCTCATCCGGTTGCGTGGTATGAGGTTCCTCATCGTCGGCCGGGTGTATAAGGGGGCAGCCTCTGGGCTGCCGATCCAGATGCTTCCAGCTTACTGCGGCTGCGGATAGCATACTCGTTAAGCTTGAGGCGCATGAGCATCCTGTTTTGTCCGGTCATTAAAACTGGCGGGGTCGGCGGAGTATCTGCAAGTCTCCAGGGGAGTATTCTGGGACCAGTTCCTAGGCGGGTTCTGAAGTCCTCCAACGCACAGGGAAGAATTGAGGGTCGTTATGGGTTGATGTTGTTGGCTCGCCCAGGGCCGGACACGCAAACCTACTTGCTTTACAGTCACAACACCCAAGTGGTCCTTAGCGGACTTGTTCGCCTTGCCCTTGTATCAAGTCTATCAACGCTGTCAAGCGGTTATCTAGTCATGAGAAGGATGCGCATACTGTCCTGCTGCTCTGCCCAAAGACTGACAGCACTGGCCACAAAGAGGCATCGACTGCCTGAAGATCCTGTCAAAAAGTGGAAGGCTGCGCAGGTTTCTGCGCAGCATAAAGGGCGAGGACCGTTGTGGCTCTGCTGCGTGTTGAAACTCATTTGTGGCTTGCGAAGAAGGGCGAGTCACAAGAGGCAGAGAACATGTGTGACCCATTTAATATGAGAGGTTCCAAGTCACATGTGAGGTGACATTGAGCCCAGCTGCATTTAGCAGAAGAGACCCCGAGCGCCAGGCAGATGTGGTGCCAGATTGCTCCAACCACGCTGGATCATTTACTTGAGAGTGGGTTCAAGAGGCAGCATTTGCAAAGTCCTTCCTGCAATCTGTTGCCAGAACTGATTGCGGGGATGCGTTGGCCTTTCCCCGCGTGTTAATGGCTCAGATAAGATAAGACCTTCAGATGCTGGGCTCTACCTTGAGCAGGTGCGCGTCCATGGAAGTACCACCTTTCAACGTCCTATGCTCACCACAGAGGCACACCACAGCTTAAAGCCATTGCAGCTCTTTGAGACAGGACTTTCATGGCACTGGACTGTGGCCTGCTCATGGTAATGCCTTCCCCAATACCAAGGAAGCTCTTCGAGTATTTTGGTTCCACATCGAGGAGAAGTTGCTCATTTCAGGTTGTGCGGAACCGGAAGCTTGCAGTCGGGCAGGTATAATAATAGAATGATTTACCTTGCAGTTGCTGTTGTAGTGTCTGGAGACCGGATTATTTCATTGGCATTGCTAGGCAGAGCGTTCCGAGAAGGCTTTGTCACATGTTTTTTCTCTTTCTGCTGATTCTCAGTGCAGACTTGTTTGGCCGGTATTGTAGACCCATGAGAATGAGGATGTTCCGCAATGTCTTGCACTGTCCTATAGGTCCGAATGCTTGCAGCCAGAGACCAATGAGTACTAACAAACGACTTTAACTAACAAGCATGCCGCGGATTCTGTGCTGCTAGGTTGGGCGAGGTGTGCAGGCAGAAGTGGTAGTTCAGCCGCCCAGCCACGATAGGTCAGGCAATGGCTTAAGTTACCCGACGGCATGCCTGAAGCATTGCAGACGTGGTCTGGCTGTTCGAGTTAGATGAGTATGTCTGGTTGGCATGAGAAATCTGGTGAGTACACAGCGCAGCAAAGTCAACGAAGCACTCCAAGGGCCCGTGCCCAAGTAAAAAGGACAGCTGCGTAGAATCGACTGATCAGAAAATGCCGCAGGACCATCCTTACGATGTTCGAACTATCTCTGGCCAATTGGCCCCCGGTGGCACGCATTCTGCAGGAGGATGTCAGCGTGGCCCAGCTTGAAGACATCAAAATGCCGATCATACTTCAGTGCATTTGACATGCGCATCGATTCATGGACCTGTGGGTGCTGGGCCGCGCAATGGTTTAAGCCACAGAATCATCAATAGAAAGTGCAAGTCAGCTCCGAATCTACATCTTTTCTCATTAGATCATGTCCCTGCCTAGCAAGCTCTCAATGAGTTCCTTTGGCGATGAGGTTGACACTGCGCGCAGCTAAGTGCCAGCTCCTTGCAATTCTTGGCCAAATAGTTTTCAGGAGTGGTTCGTGCTTTTCTCCATCTGCCACAAGCTTATCATCGGCACCGCAGTCATTGGTGTTGCGACTCAGCTGGCCTCTTGCGTGTTTGCATAATATGTTTTTTTGGTTCCATGCTCTTGCAGTTCGATGGCTGGCCGCGTGTGGAAGAGAGCATGGCTCCTTCACCGTCCTCCCAACTTTAACAAAGCCACAAGACCCCAACGAGCATTGTCCTCGGTGCTGCGTAACCTTGAGTATTCCTCTGCAAGAGAGCAAAGACGGCAGCAATGTTGCTTACTACGGAGATTCTTCCACACACAGCAACCACATGAGTTGATACCAGAATACCTCAAGCGGCCTGCCCAGGTAAATGGCGTTTTCATGCAGGAAACCTTCAAGGCCATCCCGACTTCCTATCTGGATGTGTGTGGTGAGGTGGAAGCGAAATGTCTCCTTTATGGATCTGTGTTACGCTTCGCTTGGGCAGGGGGTCTTGTGAGAGTGCTTCATGCAGCCTGAGCAGGACCAGGATAGAGGGGGTTGAGCCGTTTGTCATGTCTGAGTCCTCATAGGATTGGAAGTTGTTATGCCGGGCTTGAAATTCTATCGTACTGCCTTCCCGTGCTGTCAACTGGAGGGCTAAGAGTCTGTGTCTGCTATGCAACAGATCATGGCAATGATCTGGTTCTGGAAGGTTGCTGCCAATGACGACAACATCATGATGAGGCCGGGATGCCTTGGCTCTTCCAGATCATGTTTCATTGAAATCAAAAAGCATAGGGCCGAACCCCCCGGCCTGAAAGCACGTCCACTGGAAAGCAGCAGCTTGCCTTCAATGAAACCTCCATTGAGCAGTGTACCGCAGCGGCAGCCGCGTAACAGCAACTGGCCGCATGCAGAATCCTAAACCAACGTGTATCCTGAAAGCCATGGCTTTCCCAGGCAGACTGACCTGAAACGGCAGACACACGAGAAGTTGCCTAGCTGCACATCAGTGGCATGTTCAAAAATCATGGGAAAAATTCGGTGCGCCGAAATGGTTCGCGCTTTTTTCTACCCGGGGTCGCGTTTTGTACTCCTGTCTTGTCGGCCTCACGGCACATCAGGAAACCAGTGGGCAATCTGGAATTGTGCGCGGAACCTGCCCACAAGTTTTAGAATCGCTGCGAGGAAGCAAGAGAAGATCACAAAGCATCCCCACCGCTTTTTGCAATTCGGAAGAAACAGCCCTGCCGCATCCGCATCCCAGGAAGATAACGGCCTTGTTTGAAGTGGCAGACACTGGAGGTGAGGGCCTCCTCTGCAAGGCCGGGGTTCTCAAAGCTGGGCCTTTGGGGCTCGGGGGTTGAGGTCTTGGAGTCCTCCAAGAAAGCACTGTGTCTGTGTAAACACAAAGGCCTGCTGAGATTCACGGGCGAGGGGTGATTCACAAGTTGCAGTTACCAAATTCGGGGCTGCAAGTCTAGAATATGGAGCTGCTTGGAGAGCTGGCTGTGTCAAGGTTAGTTACATTTTCTTCGTTCAGTCACACATTCTGCCGCTTCCAATCATCAAATCATCAGTAACCCGATGGCCAAACACGGATTTTTGGGGAAGGTGCGGAACCAAAAGCAAC